AAAGATGATTTTGTTTTATAGTCATTTATTTTGATTTATTTTTACACGTATGTAATACCGCGTTATCAGTCAATATCGAGATCGAAGTAGATATCAGCTACCTTGTCAGTTGTCACAAGAAGTCGTATATTTTGCCTCCTAATAAAACTTGATAAAACTTTCAGAAGTACAATATAAACTAAAATCATTTTCACGTATCGCGTTTTAATTTAAATTTATTTTCTAAGGATATTTTTTATGTACTTTTAAGCTCTCCCAGGGTCTTCGGTCAGAGTGGCTGCCATCGACCCTGGGGAGGTGGGGAGAGGACCAAAACCTTTTTTATTGCATCTTATATAAGGGAGAAAGGAGGAGTGTGTAGGCACATTTATCAAAGGCTAGCCTGCGAATACAGCCACCTCTCATCTTTCCCAGCCCCCAAGAGGCAGCTATACTTTGCAGGCCAGTCAAAGGCATGTTTTTCTAATGGGGACTGTATATGTCACTTCTTTTTATCTTTTTATATATTTTTTATTCTTGCAGATGTGGTGAAGTGTTCTGTGGAAAGTGCTCTCAATACAGGGTCGCCTGTCACTGTTTGCAACTCCAGATCCCGATGGAATTAGTTGCAGGGTGAGTACAATGTAAACTCTTTTCTGAGCCAAGCTCAAAAAGGAGACTATGAGTGGTCCCTCCTTCCCTTTAGTCTGTGGAGTGAGAAGTGAAATAAAGAGAGAAGAAAAAAATGGCTGCACCCCTGTAGTGGGGGTGGGGAGGGGACTAGTCCGTCCTTCCCTTTAGTCTGTGGAGTGAGAAGTGAAATAAAGAGAGAAGAAAAAAATGGCTGCACCCCTGTAGTGGGTGGGGAGGGGACTAGTCCGTCCTTCCCTTTAGTCTGTGGAGTGAGAAGTGAAATAAAGAGAGAAGAAAAAATGGCTGCACCCCTGTAGTGGGGTGGGGAGGGGACTAGTCCGTCCTTTCCCTTTAGTCTGTGGAGTGAGAAGTGAAATAAAGAGAGAAGAAAAAAATGGCTGCACCCCTGTAGTGGGGTGGGGAGGGGACTAGTCCGTCCTTCCCTTTAGTCTGCTGAGTGAGAAAGTGAAATAAAGAGAAGAAAAAAAATGGCTGCACCCCTGTAGTGGGGTGGGGAGGGGACTAGTCCGTCCTTCCCTTTAGTCTGTGGAGTGAGAAGTGAAATAAAGAGAGAAGAAAAAAATGGCTGCACCCCTGTAGTGGGGTGGGGAGGGGACTAGTCCGTCCTTCCCTTTAGTCTGTGGAGTGAGAAGTGAAATAAAGAGAGAAGAAAAAAATGGCTGCAACCCCCTGTAGTGGGGTGGGGAGGGGACTAGTCCGTCCTTCCCTTTAGTCTGTGGAGTGAGAAGTGAAATAAAGAGAGAAGAAAAAAATGGCTGCACCCCTGTAGTGGGGTGGGGAGGGGACTAGTCCGTCCTTCCCTTTAGTCTGTGGAGTGAGAAGTGAAATAAAGAGAGAAGAAAAAAATGGCTGCACCCCTGTAGTGGGGGAGGGGAGGGGACTAGTCCGTCCTTCCCCTTTAGTCTGTGGAGTGAGAAGTGAAATAAAGAGAGAGAAGAAAAAATGGCTGCACCCCTGTAGTGGGGTGGGGAGGGGACTAGTCCGTCCTTCCCTTTAGTCTGTGGAGTGAGAAGTGAAATAAAGAGAGAAGAAAAAAATGGCTGGCACCCCTGTAGTGGGGTGGGGAGGGGACTAGTCCGTCCTTCCCTTTAGTCTGTGGAGTGAGAAGTGAAATAAAGAGAGAAGAAAAAAATGGCTGCACCCCTGTAGTGGGGTGGGGAGGGGACTAGTCCGTCCTTCCCTTTAGTCTGTGGAGTGAGAAGTGAAATAAAGGAGAGAAGAAAAAAATGGCTGCACCCCTGTAGTGGGGTGGGGAGGGACTAGTCCGTCCTTCCCTTTAGTCTGTGGAGTGAGAAGTGAAATAAAGAGAGAAGAAAAAAATGGCTGCACCCCTGTAGTGGGGTGGGGAGGGGACTAGTCCGTCCTTCCCTTTAGTCTGTGGAGTGAGAAGTGAAATAAAGAGAGAAGAAAAATGGCTGCACCCCTGTAGTGGGGTGGGGAGGGGACTAGTCCGTCCTTCCCTTTAGTCTGTGGAGTGAGAAGTGAAATAAAGAGAGAAGAAAAAAATGGCTGCACCCCTGTAGTGGGGTGGGGAGGGGACTAGTCCGTCCTTCCCTTTAGTCTGTGGAGTGAGAAGTGAAATAAAGAGAGAAGAAAAAAATGGCTGCACCCCTGTAGTGGGGTGGGGGACTAGTCCGTCCTTCCCTTTAGTCTGTGGAGTGAGTAGTGAAATAAAGAGAGAAGAAAAAAATGGCTGCACCCCTGTAGTGGGGTGGGGAGGGACTAGTCCGTCCTTCCCTTTAGTCTGTGGAGTGAGAAGTGAAATAAAGAGAAGAAAAAAAATGGCTGCACCCCTGTAGTGGGGGAGGGGACAGGGGGACAGGAACCTGGGAGTAAAGGGGGCGGGAAGTCTATGGGAGGCAGGGGAAGAGAGGGCAGGAAGCGGGATTCCCAAGGTGGCGGGAACCCGGATAAACAGGAACATTTTTTGCAACATTGCGTAACATGTTGCAATAGAGAAAGCACAAAAGGAGGAAACCACAATGTAGGATAACCAGAGAGTTTTTTAGGCTAACCAGAATGGATCACATGCCTTGCTGGCTCGCACTTTGTGAAGACCCGGGAAGCATGGATAGCACAAAAAGAGAAGTCACATTTATTATGGTTTAAATTTACATTGTGCGCTTGCTGATTCTCTTTTTTATCAGGTGTGTAAGAGGTGTTTTGATGTAGGACCCCAGACATTTGGAGCAGACCGGTCATTAACAAGACAATTCAAGTTTTTGCGAGAACGTAAGAAAGCTGAAGACAAAAACAACAATCATACGGATGGGCCCATTCAACCCTTGAACAATGTCAAAGAAGGGTTGCAAAGACTTGTTGAAGGCTACACAAAGCATATCGGCAAATCAAAAGTCACATCTTTGGTGATGGAGGCTTTCAGCTTTGTCAAGATTCCAGACTGGCAAAAATCAAAACGTTGGATGGTGAGAAAAAAAATCATTTCATCTTCAGTTAATCGTTGGGTGTCATTACCTGCCTGCTTGACAATATAGTGAGGGGGGGGGGGGGGGGGTGGGGTGGCAGGGAGACAGGGAACTGAAGTAAGAGGGTGAGTAAAGGGAGCAGGAAGTCTACAGGAGCTGGGAAAAGGAGGGCAGGAGGTGAGATCAACCCAATTTGGAGAGAACCAGAAGAAATAGGAAATTTTTTTGGCAACATTGTGTAATATTTCGCAATAAAAAAGCACACAGGAGCCACTAAGAAAGGGGTGGGAAGCAAGAGTAAGATGTAGGGGACAATTAAACATGTAAAGGGTTAAATAAAGCTATGTTTGTGGAGGTAAGATTAATTACCTAGCGTCTTTGCACGCATTGCGGACCTATTGTCACTAGCGTCTTCGCACGCATTGCGAGCCTATAGTCGCTAGATAATATTACTAATGCTATTTATCTGGCCTTTCTTTACAGCCAAGCTCGTCAAAGACTGACTGTACATTATGCAGTAAAAAGTTTTCAGTGACCGACACGAAGTCACACTGCAAGTGAGTACATTTCACATGCAACAGCCAATCTTTGTTTTCTCTCTGCGTATTTTTTTAATGATTATTAATCATAAAATCTTCCTTCTTCCTTCCCAGGGTTTGCGGCGCAATAATCTGCTCCTCGTGTTCGTCAGAAACGCTCATCCTATACCCCGCTGAACCGTCTGGTACCGTGCAGTGGGCTCTAATCAACATCATCGGTTTCCCCGGATGAAGAGCCAGCCGGCTGTTTATACCTGCGAGTCTGTAACGCCTGTCACGGCGAGGCGGCGGTATTACAGGGAAATACCGTCACTGATGGACCCGCCATGGGGTCAATATTAGACGATATCGCAAATATCCACACGACTCTCCAAAGACTTCAAGGAAAAATCAACGATGCGTTGCCCAAGTATGAGACGCTCGTTGACGCGGTCGAGGCAAAAGGCGACTTGAAGGGCTTGGTTCCCGCAGAGAGCAGTGCAACTCAAACACTCGCCAAGTATCATGTCGATTTGTCGGATTTATTCACGCAGTTTGCTATCGACATGCAGAGCGTCAGACGGCTCAAGCCGCAAACTAACACACAGCTAAAACTCGCCAAGAATCTGACCAGCAGCATGTTCAATTTCTACGGCGATAACTTCTCAGTGTTTAGAGAGAGCAAGAAGCGCGTCGTTGAAATACTGCCGCAAGAAATACTAGAACAAGTTCAGGTGATAGTCGACCAGAATGCTATAAACAGTTCGTATATCTATATCAAACAGCTCGGACTTGAGGCTTTGTTATTGGCGGAAAAACATAAGTTCGATAATCAAATCGCCGTTTTTCTTGCCGACTGCGAGAATATCTGTCTGGACGATTTGAGAACACAGATTGAGGCGTGTCGGGAAGACTGGGACCGACATCAGGAAGTACTGCACGAACTACTTCATATAAACGTCACAAAACATCGCCTGATTATTCCCTCGAGAAGATTCACGCAGGCGCAAGGCGCGACTTACGTTCAACATTTCTTATTTGATCGCTGTAGACTCCTTGTGTGGAAGACACTTCGACAGTTGAGCGCTAAAACGACGGAGAAAAAATTCTCCTCTTCTAAACAAGCCCTGCAAACGTTGAGCGAACAATTGTCTGGGTTACAATAATGTGCAATCCTCGCGGTTAAGCACAGAAACTCTATTTGTAACCTCCTGTAAGAAAACACCTCCTATAAGGCCCGAACACTGATCATGAGTCATGGTCACACCGACACTACATTTGTGATCTCCAGTTAGGAGACACCTCCCATAAGAGGCCGACCACACACGAACACTTTGTAACCTCAAGTGAGATAAAGGAGAGAAAGATGTTTAGTTTATAATCAGTCAGTGAAAAAAAGCTACTCGGAAAAAAAATTGCCGAGTTCTCCCAAAAGGAGTCGAACCTATGACCTTCCGCACACTGGTCGGACGCTCTATCACTGAGCTACAGGAGACTCGTTGGAGGTTAGGCCATGTAACTAGGTTCAAATGTGACAAACATCCCGCATACTGCTAGGATTAGATTTGTCGCTGAATGAGAATGAGTAGAAATATGAGAAAGATGTTAATGAGTCAGTAAAGTTATATCAGTACCTCCCATACATAACACCAGAGCCGTAATCGGACCACACACGAACACAACATTTGTCACCCATTTAGACTTCGTCCATGTATAAAAGAAACGATATCATATATTTTGCTAATGCTTTATTTTTGTAATTTTCCTGTATATAACTATTGTAAATGTACATCTACAAAGTCTCATTACCGTAATTTTCTACGACGTAGGGCTAACGATCGAAACATTTTTCTATTATTTTTAACAATGCATAATAATTATTTATTAGGATAACGATATGGTACAGTTACAAATATTTAGTTTTTGTCTTTTGCCACAAGTTTTGTTACGTTAATTCTTGTAATATTTTTAGTCTTTAGTGGACCCTTCCGTAAATAATGTGAAGTTGGCTTACCTCAATTAATATTAATTATTATTGCTGTTATTAAATAATATAATATTAAAAATGTATTCTGAATAAAGAATTATAGTCTGAAGTATCAGCCATCTCCTCGCCGATTTACAGAGTTAGTTGCATTATTTTGCACTCCCATGTAAAATGGACGGGGATGCTCTCAGAAAATTTGAATTAAACCCCTAAAGGAGACCAATCTGGGCGTGGCTCAAGTTTTATTTGGCCCCCAAAAGAGACAAATAAGAGCTATAGTGACTTGAATGATTTTAAAGATTTCATGCCTGATCGGTGTAGACCACCAACACAGTATCACGGTGTTTTTTTAATTTTTATGTCTTCGCGTTCAACCGCTAAACCATACCTTGATGGCTAGAAATAGCGGCGTTCCGTCCTGAACACCCTAAGTGAGACCAAAACCCGTAATTTACACCCCTAAAAGGGACGACGAGCATCCCCGTCCACCCATGCCAATGAGTTAGCAGCGGGCTGGTATACTGATTTTGCAGGTTGCAGGTTGAGACTTTTTTAGAAGCATTACACACGCTGTTAGGCAGAGAATGGCGTCACGGTTAGCCTAATTGTTAGGGTTAGGGTTAGCAGTTGACCTGCAACCTGTAAAATATACCTGCCATTAGCAGCTGTATAACTCCAGCCTGAGCGCTATGTTACCGTGCCATTTGAGAGGATAGATACGGACTGCTGTAGCGTAAAACCTCTGTTCAAGTGGATGTATGATGGTGGAAGTTCGGTCCCAGTTCCCCTGAAATATCTGAAAAACAAACGCGTTATGTTTACTCAGTTCTTTTCCGTATAAAGCGGGAAAATCCACTGGGTTTTGAGATCACACACTCGTCCAGTTGCACATTCAATCTCGGCCTATGCTCAGCGAATTCCCCCTCGGTTTTATAGATGAGATGTGGGAGTTAAAGACGCACTCGGGCCAACTGGCCCACACTTCTGATTTCCTTAGCATGAAGCCGACTAGGAGTATTGCTACTACCCCTGGATGGGATGCTAGTCCATCTCCAGCATTTTGTCGCGGTACCCATTTATACTCCTCGGTGGAGAGAGGCACTGTGAGAGTGCCCAAGAACACGACGCAATGACCCAGGCCAGGGCTCGAATCCGGACCGCTCGATCCGGAGTCCAACGCGCTAACCACATCTCCCTTACTTAAACGATAAAATCTGTACTAATTAAGTTTATTTGCATTAATGCCAGCATTATACGAGTCCTGTACAGAACTGAGACAATTCCTAGCTATTCCTAAAGCCAGTAGCCTGCGAATACAGCATTTATACGTTTGTTGCGGCGAATTTTATCGACAAAGAAAAACGCAAGCGAATATTAATTTCGCCTATATGTGGCGTGCCAGATATCGGCGATTTCGTATGGCTGTTGATTGTTGAAAATCGTCGTCGTAGTCTATTTGGTGGTGTGTATTCACTTCCGTACAATTTCAACTTATTTTAGAACAGTGCTCAATTGACTGTCGAAAGTAATCTCTGAACTGCTTTGGTTTTGCCTTACTATCCGTCTGTGATTGGTTTAAAAATCTCGCGCCACCTTCCCAACCAATCAGATGCAAAACCAAAACCAATTACGACTTGGTCGCACGCGTTTTCTCGCGCTTGGCGCAGGCTACGTGTATTTGATTTGAGTTCTCATTGGTTCATTTGTTGTGATTGGTCATTGTAATTGCTTTGGTTTTGATTTCACAACACTCAATTGAAAACCTCTCTATGGCTTGTATAGACCCAATTCGTATCTCAATCGATCCAAAACAAATGGCGCATCTTGAAAAAATTGGCCAATTTTTTCAAGTTCGCCGTTCGCAATCCGGCCGTCTTAATCTTCTCCATCCTCAACCATCCTTGTTCCTGTATGGTTTCTCATCACCTCTTTGGTGTTTTATACCTTAGTAAACTGTTATTTTGAGGCTTTCGTCAATTTGAAGACTTAAAATATCGTAACATAGCTCTTTAAAAACTCATTACATACCTTAACATCTTCTATATATGCCTGTGTTAGATTCTTCCAAACTGACCCCCAATAGTACGCCACATAGTACTGTTGTGTCCAGTTATCTGCCTGCGGATCTCCCTGTGTCGATATCCCATTGACGTATGTCTTTTGACTTGAAAAGTTGATCTCAAGAAATTCACCAGTATCATTTTGAACGCTTCTCCAACATGACTGACCATGCAGCCGCGCCTTGAAGGCTTCAAAGTGCTTCGCGTGCGAGGAAGCAGTGAGCTGATTGTCCCGGATCTTGCCACTTTGCATACCAACCGTTTTTAGTTTAAACCACGGACACTCTGAAGGTAGCGAGATGGATGTTAGCGTGATTATTACAGCAACTGCCTGTCTGGGTCAGTGGGGAGACGCGAGATTAGCGCGTTGGACTCCGAATCGAGCGGTCCGGGTTCGAGCCCTAACCGGGGTCATTGAGGCAAGTCACTTACTTACTCTCTCCACCCAGGAGAATAAATGGGTACCGGCGACAAAATGTTGGTTGTAACCTGCGATGGACTCACTAGCATCCCATCCAGGGGGATTAGAAATACTACTAGTCGCCTCATGCTGTGGGTCACCTGGACTTAGTGGAATAGTTTGCGGCATCTAACTAATTACTTGTGGCCAAATCAAAACACGTGTTTCCAACAAGCTGGCTATCCGCAACAGTTGAGGATGTATGATTAATTACCAGTATGTTGAGCTTTGTAGGTTTCCACGTTAACTATATTCTAGTTCTATTTGTTACTAACAATTGGTGAACTGTTTCCCTATAGTGTACTGTTTCCTTATAACCCAGTCTATTAAACATTATAATATACTCACCACAGGATATTGCAATTTTTGACAATCTGATTGGTTCCCTATTCAAGGCATACGAGGCAATATGCAATTACTACCTAATTTAGAAAGTCCACGAATTACGAGATCTGAGTTTAGTCATGTGCACACGTGCAAAATGACGTTTTTCAAAATAATAAAAATCCCATTTCACCATCTGTTTCCTCATCCTTTTCCCGATGATTTAATTGCAATATCCTGTGGTGAGTATATTATAAAACAATTATTCTGAGGCTGAATGGAAGTCCTTACCTTCACAGGTCGGTCCATGGTATAGGGGTTTACAGTCACACGTAAAACCTGGATAAAAGTTAGTGGTGATGCAAGTCCCACCGTTCTTACATGGCGCGTTATCGCACGGCTTATAGGGCCGATATAAGTTATCCAAATATACAGTATCCACCGAGGAGACAAAAAACCTGGCCTCAACACTGAGTCGAGTTCCATTGTTGAGTTCACATAGTTGAAATGTAAACTTGAAGTTGAGACTGTAGCATTCTGGGTCATCTTGGCACGTGACTATGCACGTGATCAAGCGAACTCCTGACATCATTCGATACGTGTGCCTGTTTAGTGAGTACCCGGATATAGAATGTACATCTTGACAACCGGTTTGACCGTTATAGTTTGAAACAGAGTGAAAATAATCCAACAAGTAATCCGCATTTTCGTCAAGATGGAATGAACACTGTGGCCCTGCAATACAAATAAAGAAATCCAAACTATAGTCCAAATTTCCTCGATGTGGTAATATACTTTTACTCTCGACCTTCGAGCAAAAGAACGTAGTGGCTAGGTAAGGAAACTCATTACAAAAGGAATGAAGAATGCTTTACATTGTAGTTAAAAGTAAAAGTAAAACAGGGAGCAATCATGATTGAACAAACGGAGCATTTGAGTAAGTAGAAAAGCCTTCTTTCGCAAGAACAGCAGCAAAAGTTTACAATCGCCATATTTGCACAAAGGATAAAGCATGATTCTTTAGTTTTATTCATTTTACATTCCAAGAAGGGACAATTGGAGGATGTAATTTTAATAGTTAACTATAGCTTCCTTTCTAATCAATTAAAAAACTTAAAGCTTACCTGTGGAGACGAACTCCTGAACTGACCACCCTTGATCATCAGTGCATGGTCTATTGAAACATTCAAGGAGTTTGCAGTAGGACCAGTAGAATAAAAATTAGCTTGAAAAGATTTTCTGATCAGGTGAATGTCAAAAAGTAATATTCATTTTCCATTATGTCGATTACACAGCTTAGAAAGTGTTTTTACGAGAACCAATCACTGCGAGAAGTTCTACAAGATCAAAACAATTAACAAATTATTTTATTAAATTCAGTCCGAATCAGTCCAGGTCATCAACGAACAAAGGATATGTTTGGTTAGTTAATTTACTTATGTGAGTTTTATTTAACCAGGCTTTTAAGTTATTTACTTAGACTTAATGTTTTTAATAGATAGATACAGGACGCCTTTTAAATTGTGACACGAGTTACATTGATACGCTGAAACTGCTTTGGGATATTAGTTAAGAAATTGTAAAATATATGGTGATCAAACTAACTAATAACTGAAACTTAAGGAAGGTGCTATGTCGCGCGAAGGCATTTCGGCGCAAATAGT